CAAAAAATACAAATCCCTCAATAGTGATTTAAACAAAAAAAAAAAAAACGCAAGTGGTGTGTTCTTTTAATTTGTACCGAAAGTTGTGTCAATGGACACTAGCTCACCAAACAGTGCATAATCAATTAGCATCCTAGCATTAGCCCAAAATACATTAGTCATATGTTCTTCCACATCCAACTGATAAGCATGGAGAATAAAGATTCTCTGATGCTTGTTTCGGGAAATAGTGTGTGAGTGTATTAGCTTCATCATAAGCCATGTTTCTTTCTCTCCTTGACTTAAGGTAATTTTTTGCATCACCTCGAGTAAATCGAACATTCTCTCTTCCTCCATAATGTAAACTCATCAAATCAAAAGAGGCATTTTTCCTAAGGCCAGAATCATCTCCTAGTTCAATCTCATATGCCTGCACTTTTGAAATTTATTTTTGCGATGGAATCGTATGAAGCGCTTCTGGACTGTGCATGTAACACTTGAAATTTAATATAAACGGATTAATAGTACTACTCATACCAACAGAGGTGCATCTCCTTTTAAGGGAGCTCATCACCCAAGAACTCCAATGTTAAGCGTGCTTGCACGGGAGTAGTCTTGGGATGGGTAACCCCTTGGGAAGTTTCTCAGGGCGCGCATGAGTGAGGACAAAGTGCGCGGTAAAGGCTCGTGGTGGTTTGTGGGGACAGTACTATTGGTCCGGAGTAACTACCTCGGGTCCTGTGGGGCCGGGGTGTTACAGGTGGTATCAGAGACACCCTGCGACAGTGTGCTGATCCGTTGGATATCGGGCGGGCACTTAGCGGGGCAAGATTCTGGGGTTTGATTGAGATTGGTTTAAGGGCGCAACGAGGACGTTGCGATCCTAAGTGGGGGTGATTGTAACACTTGAAATTTAATATAAACGGATTAATAGTACTACTCATACCAACAGAGGTGCATCTCCTTTTAAAGGAGCTCATCACCCAAGAACTCCAATGTTAAGCGTGCTTGCACGGGAGTAGTCTTGGGATGGGTAACCCCCTGGGAAGTTTCTCAGGGCGCGCATGAGTGAGGACAAAGTGCGCGGTAAAGGCTCGTGGTGGTTTGTGGGGACAGTACTATTGGTCCGGAGTAACTACCTCGGGTCCTGCGGGGCCGGGGTGTTACAGTGCAAGGTATGACTATGTTTCACTATTAATTCTCTCACTTCATACTTCCTAGAAATAAGTTTGAATATTATGCGTGCTCTACAACCTGTTCTAGTCTTGCTTCGAGCATTTTTTGTCTTCACATCTCCTTTGTCAATTCGTCAAAATCGCTCCTTAAACACACATAAATCATTGATGTGATCTTTGTTTCTACTTTGTTGCTAACATTATTGTTTTTATTTCGCACTCCAAAACCTATTTTTCCACCATACATCCTTCAAAAATTCCATGCGGCCTCAATGCTATCAAATCTCATCCGCGCCTTAAGATTAGAAATTTCCTCCATCTCTTCTAATAAAAAAACAATACTAAAAATAAGACTTGAAAAAATATATGATCCATGTATATTTATTTAAAAAGCATTTGCTTCGCCGAAACCAGGTGTCATTTAATATTTACTTTGATGTAATTAATAATATCCCAAAATGTAATTAATAATATCACATGTCGTAGTATGATTAATTAGAAGCTCTATGTTTCATGGAGTACAAAAATAAACAATTTATTATGCAATTTTAAATATCAATTGCAAAAAGCAGTTGTGACGGCAACAAAAATTAAAGAGATTGTACGAGCATCTAGTGCATGTATAATTACATACACTTACTCTGATTTTTTTTTTATCTTGATGCACAAATGGCCACTGCAATAGAAAAGAAACGGGAGAACAAAAGTTGCGTGAAATAATGAATAGTGGCGTAGATAATGAAAGTGGAAGAGATTTGGCCCAAACTTAAACCTTCCAATTCAAAGCTGGCACGTGAAAGAATCTTATTGGATTAGTTAACACATACACATTTGATGTTATCCCAATTTGATTGTTGCATTGTTCATCTACTTAATGCGACGGTCCAAAAAGAGAAAGATAGAGTGCCTTACAATTAGGTAGGGTAGACACCCCCAATCCGTAATAGACTCGGAACCGCCCAAACCCGGAAAACCAGGAAAACATGAAAAACCCGACCATAAATTAAACTTCGGGGCAGTAGAGAGTCGAACTCGCATCACTTGTGGTAGAGCACACCATGAAATCCATTAGGCTATAAGAGGCGGTGGTGAGATATTGTTCTTTACGTCTACTTATAACGTTAATGTACAATGTGATTTCCAAAAACTAATTTTAAATATTAAATTATACATAATAAATATAAAATATACTACCTCCGTCCCGTTGGAATGTTCCCACTTTCCTTTTTTAGATGTCCCAATGGAAAGTTCTCATTTCCCTAGATGGAAAGTTATCCCACATCAAAACAGTGTCAAACAGTGCAAAACAGTGTCAAACAGTGTCAAACAGTGTCCAAACAGTAAAATTTACCCCCTGGTAAGTTTATTTCCTTAATATGTGTGTAGGTCAAACCGGGAACATTCCAACGGGACGGAGGGAGTATTATTGTTATTATTGTAGTACGAATTATGTATAAAAAAATTCTCAAAATTGAAAAAATACTTATATTACGTTTTTAAGAATTTGTAATAAGTATAACTACTTTCATATTTTTTTAAAGTGTGATATTTTTGTTTGTGATATACTTATACATATATTATTCTAAAAAGATAAGCATGTCAAAATTATTCTAAAACCAAATCAAGTAAAATTATTGCTATAAGTATTAAGTATGACTAACTGTACTTTAGGTTTTTTTTTTGAAAATAAAAGAGTGACTTTGATATTAATATAAAAAAGTATACAAGTCAACCTCCAGACAGTTACAGCATATCCGATCGTAAGTCCTAGGAATAGACATAAAATCAATCATCTCATACAAAACAACCTGACTTGCTAGACACAAAACGAACAATTTTATGCCTAAAGCAACCGAAACTGAAACATTGCCTTTCAAAAGTATCCCAAACATGCAAATATTCAAATCAAACATACTCGATCAAGAATAAAAACAAGTATGACTAACGAAAAAAATAAAGCTGAAAAGAACACTTTCCACAAAACACTTTCTGGCACGGAGGTGGTTTCGGAGGAGGACGAGCTACTGCGATATGGATTAATAATGTATTCTTCTTCTTTGTTCCAAAAAGACGTGGAAATGTGTAGAGACACAAACATTTTTTATGTCTCTTCCATTCTCTACGTAGCCCATAAGAACACATATTAAAACTCTTGACCAGACGAAGCTGTCCGGAACACCAAAGCAACTCTTCACATCGAGGGAGACAAAGTACACTGGAGCACCAAGTCCTAGAAAAGAACCGACATAGAATTGAACAAACACAATAACAAAAGAGAAACATTCAAATTGAATCATACGGAAAGAGAAGGACGACTAGACATCCCTCCTCTTCCCAATTTCCCGCTCATCCAGGTTGCACTACCGCCATAGATTGATGATGCTCATGATTGGTCGCTGCTAAGGTTTCTCAAAAAACATAGAAAAGTGATGAAAGTGTAGTTTGTTGAAAAAATGTGTGAAAAATTGCATTAAAGGGTAATTTTGGGGCACTTTTTTGAGTGGGGTCCACTTTCGATTTGGGTCGGGTCATAGTGGTATCGGATTTTCCTTACTTAGAGCTACAATTCGGATATGGTACGCTCAAAACGGATAACGGGTGAATGAGAAATCGCTTTTTGAAGTTTACCCGTTAGAATGGAAAAAACTGGGAAAAAGGATGAGTTTCTAGTGTGTTATTTCCTATTTTCCCACACCGGAAAACCCAAGGGATTTACAACCCTTTATAAAGGGACTCCCCCCTTAAGGAGTTAAGATTCCTTAGGGTAAAGTCTCTCTCCACGCGCGCAGGGGGTGCAAATCAAATCCCGAAATCGGAGAAGAAAAACCGCGACTTGCATGCGCGGACGACCTGCGGACACGAATTTTACACGTTCTTACACGTTCACACACATTCCTCACGTATTTCTGAGCTCTAAAACACCTCCAGCATTCCGAAAAATTTCTAAGTGTTCATACTGTGTTCTCGTTCGCTGGAACTTTTGTTTGAGTGCTCAAATATTAGTTCGTAGTCATCGTATCCTGGGAAACTATTGTTGCAACGTTCCTAGCACCGTGGGAGGCGACAAATACGTTTTAAGGACATCGTGCTACGCACGAGCTTTGACTAATTCTGCTTCATATTCTTTCTTGTTTTTCTCTAGTCATTTTATTTAATTAACTTGTTTTAATTAATTTTCTTTATTTTCCGAAACGCACCCAACATAGTTTAGGATATTATAATGAGTGTGTTTTTAATGCTTATTGGTATTGTAATTATTTGATTAGAGTAAAAAATATTACCTTTTATTTTAACTTTTGATATTATGATATTTATATTAAGTATATTAATTTGTATGTTGACCGTGTTTTCCCCGGAGTTGACCTGGTAGACCCATTGGATTACTAGTGACCCGATCATTTGTCTGGATCGCTCACGGGTCCGGTTCGTGCTACATACTCCCTCCGTCCCAATTAACTTTGCCAAGTTTGACCGACACAAGGATTAATAAAGTAAAATCTGTGTGTTTGAGATTTGTGCAGAGAAGAGAAAATTATCTGGAACCACAAATTCTTTACTTAAATGAGAAAGTGACAAAGTTAATGAAACATCAAAAAAGAAAAGTTGACAAAGTTATAAGGGACAGAGGGAGTAGTATTTTATGGCGGGCTAAATAAGTCGTATGGTGGGCCCAAACACGCAGATGAGGGATTCCTTGAACCTTTGGAACAACAATGAGTCACCAGCTCAGATCTATTGAGAAGAAGTTCATCATGACAGGGATATTCAAAAACATTACCGGTACGATAAGACGGTAAAAAATAGGGGATAAATATGAAAAATGAGAACGAGCGAAAAGCAAGAGAGTAAAAACTCTCAAGGAAGGAGGGATAGAAGAAAAAGTGGCAACAAAAAGCATCACATGGTCTCCGCAGCCAACAGCGCACGAGCTTGAGGAATGAGAAGTCAACCGACATGGCTTCTTCTGGGATCTGAGAAGAATATCTAGCAGCACCCACACCTATCGGCGTCGAGCAGAGCTTCACAGCCACTCAAAACCTGATCTGCTTTCTGCTTCATATCCCTCCTCAAATTGAGGATCTTTTGATTGATGTAAAGTCACAATTTTTTCCCTTCATAAAATTCAATATTCTTATTCTTATTTTGGTTACGAGATGCAACATATATTCAAAGATCTTACCTTTATAACTTTTTATCAAGAACAGTTTAGATTCTAAATATTCAATCTTGATATATACAGGCCGCAAAATGGGAACTTGTTTCAGCAAGAAGAACAAGACTAGACAAGTTACTAGTGGCGGTGGCCATGTTGTTGGGGGTAGGAATGGGAGGGCAGGAATTACTGGTGGGTACCAACCAGTGAGTGAAGGCCATAATCACAAGGCACCCCAAACTCATGCCCAACCCCAAGCACAACCCGAAAGACCCTTCAACCCGCCGCCCCAGTCCAATACAACCCCAGTTTATGTCCCTGAAAAACCCTCACAGCCTCCTGTTGTTAGGGCTCCTGTTCAGAGAACTGAACCGAACAGTATATTGGGGAAGCCCTTTGAGGACATCAAGGCACACTACAGTCTTGGGAAGGAACTGGGGAGGGGTCAGTTTGGGGTAACTTATCACTGCACTGAGAATTCGACCGGACGAGCATATGCTTGCAAGTCTATACTAAAAAGGAAGCTTGTGAGTAAGAATGATAAGGAGGATATGAAGAGAGAGATTCTGATAATGCAGCACTTGAGTGGGCAACCAAATATTGTGGAGTTCAGGGGCGCATTTGAGGATAGGCAGTCGGTGCACTTGGTGATGGAGCTTTGTGCCGGCGGGGAGCTGTTTGATAGGATCATTGCCCGCGGGCATTATTCTGAGAGGGCCGCTGCAGATTTGATTAGACAGGTTGTGAATGTGGTTTATATTTGCCATTTTATGGGGGTTATGCACAGGGATCTCAAGCCCGAGAATTTCTTGCTAAGCAACAAGGATGAGAAGGCCATGCTCAAGGCTACTGACTTTGGTCTCTCTGTTTTCCTGGAAGAAGGCGAGTTTTTCATTTGTTGTTCTTGAAATTTGATTAGGCAATGATACATCAAGATTAGATACTTGAATACTTTATGGTAACTGATAGAAAGGCTTATATGTGAATATGTGGTGAGATTTAGCAATTTATTTTTGTTTTTAACCGTTGCTTAGTTTTTTGTTTTTGTTTTTTTAATCTTAATCTTGTCCTATTATAGCATTTGGAAATGAGAATTTTGGCCATGGACTCCTGATACTTGGACACTTGGTTGTGGCTGATATTGGATGCTCTTTAATAAATGGATGTGATTGTGTCAGTTCAACTCTAGTGCATTTCTAGGAGCATTGGTTATTCATGAACTAAGTTTTCAGAGTGGAGTGAGAAGGAAAGGTCTGATTTTGTTCATACTGAAATATGATATTAATATTTGACAGTTTGAGAGGAAAAAAATCAGTGCTGCCAATTTATACAAGGGTTTTCTTGCTGAAATGGTTGAACTTGCTGAATTACATGGAAGAAAGAATTTTTTATAGAATCAGTTTCAGCCAAATAAGTAAGTCAAAGGCTGCTTATTTTGCCTATTATGGTGGCATGAACAATAAGGAAATCAAGTTTGAGTTAGTATTTTCCTGGTAGGTATGGATTATTAGATCTCTAAGTTATAGCATTTGGAAATGAGAATTTTGGCCATGGAACTCCAGATACTTGCTTGTGGCTGATATGTGATACTCTCATACTCTTTAATACATGGATGTGATTGTGTCAGTTCAAACTCTAGGGCATTTCTAGGAGCATTGGTTATTCATGAACTATGTTTTCAAAGTGGAGTGAGAAGGAGAGGTGTGGTTTCTTTCATACTAAAAATCTAAAATATGATATTAATGTTTGAGAAGAAAAAGATCAGTGCTAATTTATATAAGGGCTTACTTGGTAAGTCAGTAAGTGTTTACTTGCTGAAATGGCTGAACTTGCTGAATTGCCTGGAAGAAAGAACTTTTTATAGAATCAGTTTCAGCCAAATAAGTAAGTCAAAGGCTGCCTATTCTGCCTGTTTTGGTGACAAGAAGAATAAGAAAATCAAGTTTGAGTCAGTATTTTCCTGGTTGGTATGGAGTACTAGGTCTCTAAGTTATCAAAAAGCTGAAAATGAGGATTTTTTCTGTAAAAGGAAAGAAGTGAGATAATAAATCCAGCCAAAGAATAGCTACAACATAAACAGATTTAAGCTATAAAGATTCCCAGAACGCCATTTGGTCTCATTACCTGTGTTGGAGTAGTTCAGTTTCAGGTCTTGGTAGATTCTAGCATTTGTCTATAACCAAATTAAAATACCTTAAATAATCCTAAGCGAGAATGCACAAGTCGGCTACACGTGCAGGAGTTCTGGTAAATAACATACATCAATTGAGCCAATGAACTGGTTTTTATGTGTATTGATGATAAAGCGTGACAATCAGATTAAAGTTTTGCAAAAAGAAGGTATTAATGAGAATAGGTTCTCTTTCTATGTCCAATTGTTTTCCTTAAATTTTAATGAACGCATCCTTGTTCTTGGCTTCTTGCTAATAACTTTTGCTAGTTATTTATCAATGTCACTGGTTGTTACTGTTTTTATTATGGGTATCAATGGCACTCACTCATCTTACTTATATTATCGACACACGTGAAATTTTTCATTTTTCTTAATTATAATTGCAGGAAAAGTTTATCGGGACATAGTTGGGAGTGCATACTATGTTGCTCCAGAGGTGTTGAGGCGTAGTTATGGGAAAGAAGCGGATGTTTGGAGTGCTGGTGTGATTTTATATATTCTTCTGAGTGGTGTGCCTCCATTTTGGGCTGGTAAGGTGCAATGATAATGATCAATTGGTTTTAAATCTTTTTCTGTACGATCACAATTAGTAATTTATTTAAGGAAAATGAAGCACGATTTAGTTTTTTTATTTTTATTTTTTATGCAGTATTTAGATGTAGTAATCTTTATATAATACTCCAAATAAACTATAAATAAATGTAACAGGTTTGAACAAAAATCTGAAATAAATTTCCTGAGTTTGAGACTTTGAGTAATGAGTATACGTTTAATTTTTTCATGGAATTTCCTTTCATTTTCCCTGTACACCACCCCCCAGTATATCAGGGTTTTAAGTTTTAACATACCCTTTTTTGCAGAAACGGAAAAGGGGATATTTGATTGTATACTGAAAGGAGATATTGATTTTGAGAGTGATCCTTGGCCAACAATATCAAGCGGTGCCAAGGACTTGGTTGGGAAAATGCTGACGCTGGATCCAAGAAAGAGGATTACTTCTGCACAAGTTCTTGGTATTTCAAATGATTATCTCAACTCTTGAAAATTTCAGACATCATCTCTCCGCATTGCAGCATAAGCATATTTGTCATTCACTTGCTAAACATCACTATGGCTGTTAAATAGAACATCCATGGCTTAGAGAAGGGGGAGAGGCTTCAGACAAGCCTATTGATAGTGCTGTACTTTCCAGGATGAAGCAGTTTAGGGCAATGAACAAGCTTAAGCAACTCGCGCTGAAGGTGAAAATCTTCCACACTATGATGTTAATGTGGCTATAATATACATGGAGTGTGTATGTATTTTTATATATCCTCCATATGGACTATAGAATATAAACAGTCGCTAGATCATTCATCATTGTTTCTTTATGCATCAAAACGGGATTTATCTTCAGCATAATACATTTATGCACTGTGAAGGTGATGCCCATCCTTAATTTAGTTTGTCCTTTTCAGACATTTAAGGTGTAAGCTCTGTTTGGTAGCCTTATGCTGCTTACAAGCAGAACAAGTAGCATTTGACTTAGCAGCAGAATAACCAAGCATGGTGTAATCTAGGAATTCTTCTGCCTAACAATAATCTCCTTTTTCTTAGAATCGTGTACTGCTAATACTGCAACATTGTATTTATTTATTTATTCATTTATTTACTATCACTACTTTAAAATGACCATCAAACATTCCCTACACAACTTCTATAAGTGAATGTGTGAACTTCAATGTGCTAAAAACTACTACGTATTACATATGCAGTTGTCTAATATTGGGTGACAAATTATACTTCTGACATGGTTAGTTGAGGGCATATGCATGACCGGATGTAGATCGATACTAATTACAAATTCTAGAATGCTATTCACAATATAATTGTTGTGCTTAGGATATTTAGTGTTTTTAGTTCCTTCGTCTTATGATAGGATGTCCTAGACAACAATCCGATATTCTACTTGTTTGAGAGTTGTAGGTTATTGCTGAGAACTTGTCTGAAGAAGAAATAAAAGGACTTAAAGCTATGTTTGCAAATATTGATACTGACAACAGTGGTACTATTACATATGAAGAATTGAAAAGTGGACTGACTAGGCTTGGTTCCAAACTGTCTGAAGTTGAAGTCAAGCAACTTATGGAAGCTGTGAGTATGAGACAGCTACAACTTTTTTTCCTTTTGCTTTTTGCAATGTAATGGTTTGTGGTGTAGTGCACATCCCTTTTCTATTAAAAATGAAAATTATAACTTCAGGCTGATGTGGATGGAAATGGAACAATTGACTATATTGAGTTCATTACTGCAACAATGCATAGACATCGACTTGAAAGAGACGAACATCTCTACAAAGCGTTTCAACATTTTGACAAGGATCATAGCGGGTAAGTCCACAATGACAAAAGTATAATGTTAGTGCACTTGGTCATCATCGTCACTTCTATTTATTGCATATGCTACTACTTCATCGGGGGCTCCTTTTTATTTTATGATTCAGTAAGTATATGGTGAATTAATTCGTTTTCTCTTGTTTTACCCTCATTTAATTTAATACGAGTATGCAGCTAAACTTGAAAAAAGAACTAAAAACATATTGAGTGAAATGTGTAGTGAGTTCATGTATAACTAATATAGGGAAGAGTGGAAGACTACATAAGTTCTTTATTCATTACAAAATTTTGCGTAAACTTTTTATGTGAAATCATTAATACGCCATGGAAGTTTGAATCTCAGATTTTCTTTTTTATTAACAATAAATAAGCGCATAATTGTAGGCTCTATGAATCTTGAGAAACCTTTTCAGAGGTGTACACAGGGTGAGTTGGGGAAAAATCATTCAAATAAATATTTACCCAAAATATTAACGCATGAAAAAAGGTTTTTACCGAACTTAGGATGGGCCCAGGTTGACCCCTACATACTCCCCTGATCATTCACATTCATGCTTGTGCATTTGCTGATTTCCTTGAATGTACACATGTGCTGCTTTTGCCCTTAAAGATTCATTACAAGAGATGAACTCGAAAGTGCTATGAAGGAGTATGGTATGGGCGACGAGGCAACTATCAAAGAAATCATTGCTGAAGTGGACACCGATAATGTAAGGATCCAATTATCCACCCTCCATGCAAAACTATATATAAATACACACACTCTCTCAAAGACTTCCTTGAGCTTTTGAGGTTCTTGAACTTGATGATGATTTTCTCTCGAGCAGGATGGAAGGATCAATTATGATGAGTTTTGTGCAATGATGAGAAGTGGAATGCAACCACAATCTAAGCTTCTTTAATGGGCCGAGGCAGGAATCCTCTTAGCCTGATGCTGTGATTTAAATTTCACGTAATAATTTATTTACATTAAAGTTCATGTTTTTTGTGTGATTCATTTCTGACATCTTTTGAGTGGCTGACTTGAGATGGAAACCGGGGTAGCCTGAGGCACTGTGGTGTAAATTACATTTTCTGAGTATTATAATGGAGTAATGTGTGCATATATATTTTCTAGTTCCTTTTTCCTTTGTAACTTTCTTTTTATGTAACATTGTTCTATTAATATTCTACCTGTAGAATAAGCTCTGTGGATAAGTGGGATCAGTGATTGAGAATATTTAATAAAGTATCTTTGCTTGTTTTGAGAATTGAGGTGCCATTGTTTACTGATAACAAACAAACAGTAGATGTGTTGGGTGTGTCTGGTTTAAAAGAACGTAGGGAGTGTTTTCTTATGTTTCCTACTGCAAGAATCAATTATGACGAGTTTGTAGGAAGGGAAGGGAGAGAATATGTGTAGATTACCATTTCCTACTGCATAACATGTAAATTTTCATTTAGGGATTACTCCTTTGGGTTCAACTCGCCAACACAATGTCTGAAACTGTGAAATCAGAGCTTGAACGCATTGCATATTTGCATTAAAAAATCAAAGTCTAAGTATTGTGTTTACTGCGCTACTAAAATCACAGATAGTAACACAGTGAAGTAAATTCACACGCTGCTTAAAAAGTTGCTTATTAATACAAATAGGTGTTTAAAGTGTCGCTTACTAAGTATACTACTCTCATGTATTAATTCATTGACAATTTAAGGTTTTTTCAGTTTCCACATTTACTTTTGCCCTTACTACTTACTGTTACCTCTACCCTATCCCTAATTAGGGATGGAGACATGGAGTCGGGATAGGATCGGGTCGGGCTCCGGGTCAGGATGGGGGGCTCATGCCTAAAAATTTCAGGTCCAATACTGACCTGTGTTTGCACCGGGACCGGACCGGGCATAAACAGCACCAGTTCGGGCCGGGCTTCAGGGCGGGATTGGGCAATAAATAAATTTTAAGAATAGTGCAATCGCGCCCGGGACTGGCCGGCCGGGCCAAAAAAAACGAGCCCGAAGCCCGCCTTAAAAGCCACCAGCCCGAGACTGGCTCGGGACGGGACCTATACATTAGCGGGCCGGATCGGGTCTAAAGAGTACCAGGCTCAAGTCGGGTTGACCCATCCTAGTCCATCCCTATCCCTAATCCTACTTCTACCCAGCCACCCTGTAGCCTCCCTTCCCCCGTAACCTTAACCCCTTATGGTAGTGGGTTAGGTCATAGTAGGGTTAGGGTAGGGTACGAGCACGGAGGGGCTAAGGTAGGGGTTAGGGGTATGAGCACCGTATGCAGGGCCGGCTATGGGGCCTAGGAAGCTAGGCATATAGGCACCATTTTTTGAAAAAGCTATGTAATCGGTTATCATATAATACTTCATATTCTTTAATTTGTAAAAAAACATACATTGAACAAAAATATTTTAACATGTATTCTTTACCAAACGTATTCTTAATAAAATTTATTATATAACATAATTAATTTAGTTTTAAATTTTCGTTTTTAGTTCTTGTTATAATTCGAAATCCGAATCATCGTTATGGGACTAGTTTCAAAGAAAAACATTAAATAAAGGAAATTGATATTATAATTTTTTTCTATTGATAGATGTTTAAAGGAAAATGACAGTCAATAATGAGAATATGCTTATGTAAGTAATGACAATGAAAATGCAAGTGAGCAAGCGTGTAGACGGCATTAATGAATATCTAAATACATATGATGAAAATCTAAAAAACAGATGTCAATGAGAATGTCAATCATCCAAATGAAACTACTAGGCATTTAGTATCATTGTATGTAAATTAAAACTATAGGATTCGAGAAATTAATTAAAAACTTGATTACTAGAAAAAAATTAATTAGTTTTCGTCTAGGGCATCAAAATCTCTAAAGACGGCCCTGACTGTATGGGTGGTAAGTAGGGATAGGGGATAGGCTCCCCGCTCCCATGTATTATATATATACATGAATGTTTGTGTGTCTATATATGAATATGGTTATTTTGAACATTGTTAATGTTAAATGGTGTTTTAAATACTGTGAAGTAAACATGAGGTTATAATATTACTTATTTTACGCGTCGCTTATTAATATAATTCTCTGAGGAAGCGGTCCAGCCCAGTTGGTCGCCGATTCACTCTCCCTTATGGGAGATCTCGAGTTCGAAATTTAATGGAGTAAGTTTCAGCCTAGATTACTTCAGGCTCCCCATGCCCCTCCCGTTTTATTCTGTTTGTATTTTTCTTTCGAATTGCATGTTGTTTTGGATGTGTTCTTATTTCCTAACGGAGAGTTTCTAGAATTTAAGTTAGCTGATGAGAAGTCTGGTTTGCCAGTCATTGGCTCTGCTAAGCCCATTACAGACTCAGCGAATATTATTGCTTCTACAGAGGTGATAGATTCTAAGTCTGGTTCGAGGTTGAACGGCAGACATAAGGCCTTTTATCGTTTTGATTATTTCTTTTTCTTTGATTGTATTATCAGCCATGTGACGAACGTTATTTTGATTTAATATAGTTGTTGGATTTGATGATACAAAAAGTAATGACTTGAAAAGTAAAACATACGTAGTACGTACGATCAGTTTAGGATAAAATGATTAAAAACGTGAACCAAAGACATAAAATCATTTCGCACGCTGAATTATGTAACAATTAGAAAAAGTATGATTGAAGTTATTTTTCTGACTATATTACTGAAATTACTGTAGAGAATCATTTTAGTTGTTTTCTCATATAATTTTTTTATTAATAAAATATGTATTTAATTTTTTTTCATAAATCAGCAGAATCTGCCAATCTAGTCACTTCAGTTAGGATTTTATAAATTTCGTACATTTCTATCTTTCCAGTTTTTCCTACATTTCTTCTTCCTCTACTATTTTTTCACTCTTTCTATACCATATTCACTAATCACTATATTATGCCTACATTTTTGTTCGTTAAAATAAAATTAGAGTATTTTACTTTTTTTGACAAAAAAAATAGAGTATATGCATTAAGTAATCTTGAATGTGGGGAACATTAATGTAAAATAATATTGATGTCACTTAAACGCGTACAAAGCTTTCTTTGTCTCCTTCCCATTTGAGCTGGACTCATCTAGGGGTGGGTTCGTAGAACCGAAAACCGAAAACCGAATCGAATCAAATCAAACCGCGACCAAATAAACCGAACCGATGAAAAACCGAAACCGAACATAAGAAACCGAACCGAACCGAACATGTTTGGTTTCGATTTCGGTTTTGACTCCTCAAAACCGAACCGAACCGAAAAAACCGAAATATTTAAAAATATAAAAAAATCATTTATTTTATATGGAGTATATGGCCGGTCATGTGGTCAACGCTCAAGACCGAAAGTGTAAGAGACTTTTTACGAGTCCAGTACTCCATAATCTTTTAACCTAAAATGTAAGAGGCTTAGCTCTCGAAAAAAGGAGCTGCCGTCGAAGACATGGTAGATCGATTCAAGATACAACAACAACATCCAAGCCTTAGTCTCAAATGAAATTGGGGTCGGCTAACATGAATCGATACATGATATCACCACCAAAAGAAAAAGAAAGAAAATGAATATTAAAAAATAAGCTATTATAAAAAAAGATAATATAAAACGGAATGAATATACATAAAAATGATAAAATTTAAAGGGTAAAAATAATGTTTATATATATAAGGATAAAAGAATAAAAAAACACGAAAAAAAAGACTAGGGAAAATAATAATAATAATAATAATAATAATAATAATAATAATAATAATAATAATAATAATAATAATAATAATAATAATAATAATAATAATAATAATAATAATACGAGATTACTCCTCCACACGAATACCCGCTCTCCACTTTGCTCTCTCGATTCAAGATGTGAAGCAAAAATGAGCGGACCTCCCTTTGGGACTGCATTTTATTTTGATTTCAGTTGGGACTGCATTTTATTTTGCTGCACTATATCCAAGTTTACTACGCTTAACTTTTAAGTGTCATGCACTAATGTTTAGTGCACTTTATTTAAATTGTAAGGCAGGAATTGACTTTCTTCAGTACTTTGTGTTTTATTTTCCTGCACTTTGGTTATTTTGCACAATTGCACGTCATTTCTTTTTTCAGAAAGTATGTGTCTTTTGGTTTAAAACCGAAAAAACCGAAATCGAACCGAACAAAACCGAACCGAATCAACCGTGGTTGGACAAAAAATATGAACAAACCGAACCGAACCGAACCGAAGTTTTTAGTTTGATTCTACATTTGGTTTTAGGTCAAAACCGAACCGCATAAACCGAACCCACCCCTAGACTCATCTTCATTCACTTGAGATTTTTAGTGTGTGAAACTGTGAAAGGCTCATTGAAAAAAAATGAGGGTTGGAAAGAGTAAAAGGTTGTTGGTGTGTCACTTGGTAATGTAGTGTCGTCTGATTTTTTTATCACCATGTGCATTACTTTTCATTTTTTCATTCAATTGGTATAACTTTTTATTTATGATCTAAATTTTATAAAAAATATACTCCGTAATTATTTCATTTAATAATTATTATGATCTTTTCAATTGTATCAATATTTTATTATATATTACCTCCGTTTCAGTGAACTTTGCCAAGTGCAAAGTAGGTGAGAAATAAAAATAATAAAATATGTACAATACAATACAATGAGTTGTCTGTGACAGACAAAATTTCAGTGAAGGACAGACATATGTACACATTTTGTGTACACATTTTGTGTAGTTCAAAGCATTTTTCATGCTACTATTGATAACAACAAATTAAAGCAACCCATCTTTTTATTGATGGATTCAGATTCTGCAGACATAAAGCCCGGCCATGGCTTCTGATTTGATGAGTCGAGAAGACCCTTTGTTGTCTTTCCAGCCAAACACTTGCATAAAAATAGCCATCCGCCGTATTCTCCCCAAATCCCTATAATTAGATGGAGTAATTGTGCACATTCAATCAACATCACAACCTCTCTGTCTCTCCTCTATGTAATTTTCCCTATTCTCGAATCTCTTCGGACACTCTTGTAGAAAAAGGAGTTTGGCCTTTGCAAAGTGCACTTACTAAAAATGGTTCAAAATGAGGTTGCCAGAACAGGGCATAAAAAAACAGATGTAATTATTGTTGCATAGGGATTGCTGCTTTTAGTTGAATTAGAACTTAAGCGTCTTCGGGAAAGCAAATCCATTTGGTTAGGGTGCACCTTCTTATTTTCGAGTAAACATTGGGAAACCTGGTAGCGTAAGAGTTTCATCGAATATGATAGCCTCCTTGC